CGCCGGCCGCGAGCTGCCCGGGCGGTGTCGCGCGGCGCGGCCGTTACCCGCTGGCTGAGGCGATCGCTGAGGGGACCCGACCGGCGGCGGAGCGGGGCTCATGGCCGCCTCGGACCGGATGGTGCTGGGGCCGCTGGTGGGCTCCATCGATCAGGGCACCAGCTCCAGTCGCTTCCTGGTGAGCAGAGCGGGGGGGGGCTTTGGGGCGGCCCCCGGGCGCTGAGGCGTGCGGGGGGCGAGGCGGCGGGCCCCCCGCCCGGAGGGAGCCGTTGCTTTCGCTCCTTCCCTCGCCCGCATCCTCGCGGGGTCCCTCCGGCCTCCGCTGCGCCCTTGGGGAAGGGCAGGGGGGAGCGGGCCGGCGCAGCGCCGTGCTGCCGCTGCCCCGGCTCCCGTTCCCTTGCCCGGGGCCGGCATCCCTCTGTCCCCCGGCGGGCCGGGGCTGCCGGGCCCTGAGGAGAAGCGGGCGCCGGTGGACACGGGGGTGGCGGAGCCGCCGGCCGGCGGACACTGTCCCCTGGCGATCAGACCCCCGTCGCCTTCCCGCCGCGCTGGGGTTTGGAGGGGGGAGAACGGAGGGGAGCGGGCCGTGCGGCGGTTCTAGCAGTGCCTGCCCGGCCCCCTGAGCAAGGCGGAGGCCAGCGTTTCTGGCCGCTGCTTGAGGGGGGCTGCAAAATCCTGCTGCTTCCAGCAGGCTGTGTTTTAAATCGGTCGGGTATCTCGCCCTGAATGAAATCGAATGGACAAGGTGCTCAGGCACTGGAGGAATAGATCGGCGTGAGTTCAGTGACTGTGATTAGCTAGTGTTCAAACAATGCAATGACTCTGCTGTGTTCCCCTCTAAAACCTACTCGGGCCTGTTGGAGTGACTGCTGCAGTTCCGGAGGCTACAACCCTAATGTCAATGCATCCTGTGCACTGTACGTATTCAGGTGACTGAACTTGTACACCTTACGAAAGATGGGCTTCTTTAAACACAGGAGGAAGATAGTTTGTTTAAGGATGGGGCGATGAGTATATTCATCACATATATAAGCCCTTTAGTTCAAGGATCGAAGATATTTCTATCTTATGCAATAGACAGTAACTAATGTTGTTATTATATATGAAACTTACTATATAAACTTCCTGCTTGCAAATCTCTACAAATGTCCTGTTGCCTAGTCAGTAAGTCACGGTAATTAGATTTAGATCCCAGTGATAATTTCCACCGTGGAAGTGGAATAGAGATAATGACTAGATACAAAAAGTTGTCAAGTGTGCACCGTGTTGAATGGGCAAGATGAATGTTTTGGAATGCCCTTGCTTTTTTCTTTTTTTTTTTTTTTTTAATGCTTCTCCCATGTGGAATGTTCTTTCATGAAGCAGGAGACTAGAATATCTTCTTGACCTATGTTACCATTATTACTCAATATCACGACCTTCATGGGATTGTCAAATGACAAAATACAGATCTGGGGGTGGAGAGAAACTACAAACTGACAAATGGCACCAGCGGACTGTATTGAATGCCAGTCAGGAGTCCTTTTCAGAAGTGAATTTGGAAAAGTTCCCTGTAACACCTGAAGATAAATTCTATCTGCTTTACATGTATGCCAAGTTAACTTTTTTTTCTTAACTTTCTAAAAGGTTATCTTTAGAAAGATAACTTAGTTATCTTTCTAAAAGGATAACACTAGTAGAACTAAAAGAGACACTGCAAGCTTTAAAGTTATACTCAAGCTCTTTTTACAAGTATTTTTACAAGTTCTTCTAACAAGGAATTTCTTATGCTAGATGCATTCATCAATGGCTTGTATACAGCTGGGGTTTTTTCTGTCCACATGAGGTATGTTTCTTCTGAGGATTCAGGTGTTCCCACAAATAAATAAGAGGTCATAATTCTTTCCTTATTTTTTTTTTAAAGTGTATTGTGTCTGTCACTCTTCAGTTCTTCTTGTATCCGTCTCGGTTTCTCTCAATTAATTTCAAAATGCATTGTCTTAAACTTGGCAGTGTGATCAAACTATTATGATAATAAAGTTATGTGGATTTGAGCAAAAAAGATAGATCTGAATTAAATCAGAACATGGGGTAGGGTGGAAGAAGAGGGCAAAGTGTGCAGGGGCCTGCTGCAAGCTGCATCAGTCATTCAGATAATAACATATGTATCTGGAGAATTCTGTACTGGAAGGAGATTGCCACGCTTAGAAGAGAGACTAAGCCAAAATCTAATGCGGTGCTCTTTTTACCTGAGTTGTTTCCTTGGCTCTCTTATTACCTCTCGATCTTTTACTGTGTTAGTTGTTTTGCATAGCTTTGTCACTGATAGCTCTTCATTTTTTTTTCTCTAGTGCTTCCAACAATTTTCATCTTCATCAAGTCACCAGTCAAAATCAAATTGTTGGTTACTTTGCACATGTCTATTCAGTAGCACAGTGCAACTGTTACTTAGTTTTTAAAGATGGACCCAGACATCTTTAACCTGGATTTTGACCAGGTTAAAGATGTCTGGGTGAAAAGCTGGCTGGTCTTTTGGGGCCAAAGGGTAGTGTCAACAGTTCAGAGTCTAAATTTACAATTACAGGTGGCCAGTTTACAAGTGGTGTTCTGCAGCAGTCAGTAGCAAGGGCTGATACCCCGAAGTATTTTCCTCAACAGCCTGGGGGATGGGTTGGAATGCCCTCTCAAGTTTGCAGATGACCACAGAGTGGGGGGAGCAGTTGACTGGAATTCCAGTTTGAGAAGGGGCCTGGCAGAAGCTTCATGAAGTTCAGCAAACTTTAGCACTTGGGATAGAAGGCTAAGAAGCAGCTTGGTGAATAAGGACCTGGATTCCTGCTGGACAGCAAGTTGAATATAAGTGAGCAGTGTGTCCTTGTAGTGGTGAAGATTAACCACATTAAGAAAAGTGCAGACTGTGGATCAAAGGAAGTAATTATTGCCATCTGTGTGGCACTTAGGAGGCAGCATCCAGAACACTGTGTCTGGTTTTGGTCCTCCCGGAGGAAGAGAGTCTGAAGAACTGGATTTCACCCAGCGGAGGATCACTAACATGGTCACTGCGCTGCAGCACAAGGCATGCAAGGAGAGGTTGAGAGATCAGGGGTTGTTTTGTCACAGGGAAGTCTGAGGGTGTGTCTTTGGCCATCTAACCACAGTTTGTAGGGAACACAGAACCAGCCTTTTCTCAGGCGTGCACAGAAAAAGACAACAGGCAATGAACACAAGTTGCAGCAAGTGAAGTTTCAAACAGATGTAAGGAAGAAATGCTTCACTATGAGGGGCTCTGGATCAGGGGCCCAGAAAGCCTGTGGAATTTCCCTCCATGCAGATGCTCAACACCTGACTAGAAAAGGCCCTGAACAACCTGGTCTAACGTTAAATTTAAGCTTATCTGAGCAGTGGGTTGGGCTAGACAACCTCCAGAGATTCCTTCCAGAATTAATTATTCTGTGTATGGACACAAGTTTTGAGAGATTCTACTGCTTATGTGAATGAGGCTGTATGAGCACAGATGATAAAGAAGCACCAGAACTTAGGTGCATTTCTGTTACTGTCACTCCTTATTTATCCTTGCCTCTCACACACAATACACGTACAGTTTTAGCTTATGCTACAGTTTTACCCTCTGGGGATCCTAATTTGGATCTTTTCTTTGCTAAGCTACTTGCTTTTGCAAAATAAACTGTAATTATTTTTGAGATCTCAACTTTTCTGTTAAGTTGGGTTGAACCTTGATAACAGATTCAGAGTTACCAGGGAGAGTGCAGTGCGTTAAGTACCACTGCAGTTGCTTCAGGCTCATTTTCTTAAAGATGGCAAGCAGGAAAATAAATTGACTAGGCTAAACAAGTGTAGCCAGATGACTAAATTCTGGTCTAGATGTTTTGCCAAATATTTGCATCTCTCATGTTCCATTTTATTTTGTTCAAGGATCATATTATAAAAATCGACTGTAACTTATTTTGCTAAAAGTCTTGGGATCAGGGGCTAATGGCCAGCTGAACCACGGCCTGATCTCTTGAAAGGTATTTGCTGGGTAAAGTCTTTCTGGCTTTTTATCCAGGAACAGCAAGAATCAAAGTGTTCAGTGAAGTACGCATCCAGTGAAGTACGTATACAGTACTTCAAGTTCTAGGTTTGCCAGTCAGCCACAGACAATTTTTTTTTCCACCTCAGAGGAATATTTCTTTCTTCCTTTACTTCACTTCCAGAAGAAACATTCAAATAAAGCTATATTGCACTGTAAGCATTATTTTCAGTAAGCAAAACCTGCTTTTAGATAAGGAAAAACTTAGTACCCGTTGAGCTTACCCTTCAGTGGGGAATCCATTTCACCCCTCTACTGAAGTAACATGACCTTTTGAGAAAAAGCAAAACTGGATTGTATAGCTAACAAGAAGGGTTAGAAGTATTGCAAATACTTCAGTTTTTCCCTAACTCTTAGCTTTTATTACTTAAAATACATTGTAGTTTTGCTTTTTATTCCCTAATCATAAGCACCTCTTTGAGGGAGGAGGGAGGTCTGTTCATCAGGAGCCTTCCAAGCAAGATAATTTCTAGGACACTTGTTAAACTGTACTTATTCATAAATTCTGACTGCCTGCTAATCCTAGTTAAATACAAAGGTGGAATTATTTTTTGTCATCCTTCCCCCAGTTGGGTTATTTCAATGCAATTTCAGAACTCCAGCTCTGAGCTTGTTTGCTTGCAAAGCCATAGCTGTTCCAGCTTAACAGAAACTCATGAAGATACAGCATAGGCTAACAGAAGTAGCTTTACTGCAAGCAGAGTTACATGGCAAAGCTTGAGAGTCATGAAATGTTACTTCTAAAATCTGTTTTCACTATTGTCTTTTCAGCTGTGCAGCTTCTTGCATCACTTCTATGAGCCTCATGTTTCAGTTTGTCTCATATTTCTTTTCATTCTTTGAAAATTGTTACAACTGATTCATCTGAGTTCTTTTCCACTAAAATGATGAAGACAATGCAATACCATGCAACTGTTTGCACCTCTTCATGTGATGTCATGTATTATATTAGAGACCCTATAAAGAGCTTGAATTAAGGGATCGGCGCTTGTGCTTGTCTGCTTGCTTATATACAGCATAGCTAAGTAGGCCTTTCTTCTCTCCTCCACTCTTGAGATTCAAGGCTCAAGCTCTAATTCTTTGTATGATAATTTGTTGGGAGTGGAAGGAGGGTGTTATTTATTGCTTTTCTTTAATCTCTCACCGGAGAATTCAGTACGTATCTGGTGGTTTTCACTGTCTTTCATCAAATCATCTCTGTTCAAGATAGCTCTACATGTCCAAATAGCCTAGACAATTCTTTTGTGACTACTGCTGATAAAATTAGGGCAAAACTGACTTCGACTTTTTTTTCCCCCTACAAAAAGTGAGAGATCAGTATCATAAACTGGAACCAGTTCTTAATGAATATGAACAGAAGGAAAGCAGTGACAGAAATACACTTCAAACCTGTTTCGACAGGAATGTATTGACCTTATCTGAATTACTCATACTTATTGTCACCTGTTTCTCCCTCTCACCACTGTCAGAGAGAAACAAGGATGGTTTGGGGTTTTTTTCTGGCAGGAGGGGTTTTGGGGGGGTGGAGGAGCAGGGAAGGAGGGGAGGTCCCATTTGTTCTATTTATTCCCTACTTTGTTTATTGTCTTCTAGGTTTAAATGTAATGACTCATTTATGTTTGGCATCTTTTCCTGTATCAGAGTTCTATTTATCACTGTAGAACATGGTATTGTTCTCAGTGAAACTTTTTAATCCCTTGCCCTGAGGTACAGGGAGTGTCTGCTGCTTTTGTTGAGGATGTCAGAAGCTTGTGGTTTTGTTCGTGATGGATTAGGAGAGCATGTTTACCTAGCTCTTCTCTATGGGCATGAAAAAATCTATGCATTTGTAGCGTTATTGCTTCTGTTGAGAATTTATTGCTGTTAGAACAGCTTGCTTAGAAGGAGGCAAAAAGCCATGCTGTGCTAGAGCTTCACCCTTTATTATCTGCAGGTCACACAATCCAGGTTCAAAGAATGACCTTGTCTAATTGAATCTGTATTTATTTCCTGCTAACAGTAGGAATCCTTATGCACTGCCTTCTGTTTCGAGGAATACTGAATGATTAATGGTGAATGGTTATCAAATGATATTTAACATTGTTAGTAGGTCAGATACACACAGGTTCAATAAAAAGTCTTCTATCTTTATTATAAAAACAGTAAAAGTTACTATGCTTTTGGCAGAAAGGCAATTTCAAGTAAAAAAAATCTTGCTGCATACATGCAGAACGTAATCTCTCCTATTAACTATGTTGCACAGTGTTTTAAGACCCATATCCCATTATACTAGTTCCCTCCAAACATGTAGTACTGACAGAGCTTAACCTTTTATTGGGATACCTTCACATCAGGCCTGAGCTGGTAGATGAAACACAGACAAGTAAATATGGTAAAAAGAATACAGTGTTGCTTTTTCTATGTAAACCTTCCAACTGATAACAGAAAAGGATGAACATGTACCTTTTTAAGACTTCTTTTCTGGGCAGTGGAGGGGAAAAATTAGTATTTTCCAGAGAGGTTGTGCTGTTTCCATCCTTGGAGGTTTTCAAGACCCGCCTGGAAAAAGCCTTTGAGCAACCAGGTCTAACCTCATAGCTGACCCTGCTTTGAGCAGGAGGTTATACTAGAGATCCTTCAAGGTCCCTTTCAGCCGCAATAATTCTATGATTCTAACATAGAACTAGAATGTTTCTAAACTTCAAGGTTTCACTCTAAAGATACACTTTAAGGTTTCAAAGAAACTGGAGAATCAGAACTTCATCTGCTCTTTGTCAGAAATGTTCTAATAGTTTCAGAGTAAACTGTCTTATCTAAATGAAATCAAGAGTTTCTGGATTAAAAGCTTTTAAGAGAAATTCCTAAAATTTGTGGAATGAGAAGAGAGCATTACCAAGGAAGTGTGGAAAAGATTCATTTGTCTCCTAGAGAGTGAATGGGGTTTGTACCCTTAGTATGAGGGTGGTTTCTGAATCTGACCGTCCTCTGCTTGCCATAAAAAGATAGGAAGGTGTCCTACTGGCGTGTTGTGCAGTTCACCTGAGTCTGCTGTTAGATTTTACTTTCTAGGTCCCTGAATGTTCTTCAAGGAAAAGACTTTAAATGGTGTTAGTGAGAAAGAGCCATTTTCCCAGGAATGTCATCGTTGCCCAGTTAGTTACGCTGGTTTACTAATTGTGCAGTTAAGTTGGATGTTTTACTTGGTGTCATCTTAGCTTGGCCACAGTAGATTACTTTTGGAAACAGGCCACTGATGGTTAATGAAGATTGTTGTGTATTCTAGCAGAGCTTCTACTGCAAGGCAGAGCCTCTAACTCGTGATTCCTTAAGAACAGCCATCAGTATAGTCCTCAGGATTCTCTACTCTGCTGTTTTTTATTGTAGTATGTGCAAATCTAAGTCACTTTTCTGCATGTTCTTCTCTTTTTTAATGTATCATGTTGCTGCAGTGACGTTCTTTTCTTGTCAGATTGTTCGTAAGCTCTGTATCTGTAGTTTGCTTTGAAACAAACTGGGTTCCACCCAGGTGCTTTTTCTGTCTTCACAGTTTGGTCCCTTCTGTGATTTCTAAACTACATGTGATTGTCTGTTTCTTAAAATCACTCTCCCTAAAAGTGAGCTAACCCAAGAAAAGGCATAGCTCTGGCATTAGAGTATCAGAGCAGGAACTAAAGAAATGTTATTATGACTAGTAGCGGGTATTTTACAGAGAGGTATGTTCTAAAATGCATAATTAGTTTAATTTCTGCAACCTCCACAAGAAAAAATGTGGTTCTTTCCCAATCCATCAAGAAAAAAAAAAGCAGTTATAATTCACAGAAGAGCTTACCAAAATACTCTTTGCTTACCTTAATCACAAAAGTTCATATATCTGAACCCAGGTTATATGGATATTTGGCTTGATGATAGAAAATGGCTATCAATTATCACAGCACTGTGTTTGTTCAAAAGAATAAATGTTAATTTATTGTTGTTTCAACTTCTGTCTTCATAAAAAATTCTGTTGTGTAATTTATTTGCAGGTTTTTAATGCGAAAACAGCAGAGCTCTTGAGTCACCATCAGGTTGAGATACAGCAGAAATTCCCTAAAGAAGGGTATGAATTTTCTGTGGGTTTTTTATTTGTTTACATTTTGGTAGAGCTTGTGTATTTTTATCTCTGAATGATCAAAACTGAAGTTGATTAATAATTATTAAGAACATAGTATCTGCTATAGAAGACTGTGTGGTAGGAAAAATGGCATAAAAAACCTCACCTTGGGTGTCCAGTATGTGCTCTGAGTTATGTAAACTAAAAATACTTGGTGTTTTACTCTGATCACTCATTAACATATTTAAAGTTTAAACTTTAAGGTTTAAAACTAAAGTCTCATTTAGGTGGTAAAGCTGCTCATTTTTACAATTTAATCGTAGTCTTCAGCTTAGTCCATAGAAACTGCTTAGTTTGTTCTCTGAGGTGGTTTTTTTGTTTGTTTGTTCTTAACTGACCTACCATTTGCTACCAAAGCCCTCTGTATAGAATAAAACAAAACAAAATTCTTTGGTTTCTGCAGATGGTTTTGTTGGGAAGATGCAGCTTACTGTTTAAAAAGGGTTTGAAATTTATGACACTTTTTCTAGATATGTAAAACATACTTTACAGTTAAGATCAAGTCAAAATACTCGGCTGGATTTTCAGACTAGAATTTCTTTTTTTCCCTAAATGTAATTTTTTGTCTTTTTATTAACTGGTGTCTACTGTTTGTTAAAGATGGGTGGAACAAGATCCAAAGGAAATACTGAAGTCTGTCCATGAATGTGTGGAAAGGACCTGTGAGAAACTGCAACAACTAAACATAGACATCACTAACATAAAAGGTATTCCTAGTACTTAAGGGTAACTGAGGGCTTTAACATACTCATGGTTGAGCAAGTCAAATTCTCTAGTCTTTAAGTCAATAAATAGGAAGGTGGTAGCATGTGCTGGCCTCAAAGAAATGTTAAATTGGAATTGAGATCAGTTTGTTTGGGAGGAATAATGAGAAAACAAGTCCTTCATGTATATTAGCAATGCAGAATCTACAAAGTAGACTTAACCTAATCTTGCAAAGTCACAGAGACAAGTGATGAATGAAGAAATTCTGAAATTTAAATTAGGACTTACTGGGAAAAGCTAGTTTCTCTGTCAGTGTTGTTGCTGTCTCAGTTTGTGGCAAAAAAAGAAGAGAGTTTTTTTAACATTGTTAAGCAGCAAAAATTGAATGATGAGCTTTTAGAAGTGATATTTCTAGATTATAACATGAAAAAGTTGGAAGCTTTTTATTTCCCATTTACTTTCCTCTTCTCCTTACCTGTTCCTCCCTCCTCTCCACCTCTCCCTCCCCTCCCTCATCCCCCAAAAGGGGAAAACAAACCTTCTGAAAAGGATACTTCTTTCTATTTTGTCCTGAAGCCATTGGAGTCAGCAATCAGAGAGAAACAACAGTGGTTTGGGACAAGACAACTGGAGAACCTCTTTATAATGCTATTGGTAACTACTATACTTTCTGAATATGTAATATCATGAGTGTGTTATAGAAAAATGCTTTCCTAGTTTCCTGTACAGACTTCATTGTGGCCTAGCCTACTAACTTCTTTGATTTTTTAATATCTGTGTCATAAACTTTGTGTTAGTATACACCAGTCCAATTAAAAAAAAATATTCTGTTAAAATTATTACTTAATAGTTAATAAATCACTTCATGGACTTTTAACAAAAAACAATGTTCCTGAGGGGTTTTGTACATCTCTGGCATGTAATGAAGCTCTGACTTACACCCAATCAGTTCCTTTTAAATGAAGGAGCTTGCTAAATTTTCGGGATGCTTTTGATTTAACTTTAAAGGAAAAATGTGTTAAGTAGGTTTCATGAGTACTTACTGATTTGGAGTTTTATTTTTAACTTACCTTAGCTTTTCAGATTATGTCAGCTGAGTAATGGTAATTGTCTAGATTTACTCTTTTAGGCCATGTCAAGTGCCAGATTTAGTTTAGCATAGTATCACTGAAAAACCAGGACTCTTCTATATTCAAATATATGTTGTTAACAGCTTTATATTGAGCCCAGCTGTACCTTGATAACTCTGACATAGCACTCCAGTTCAAAGTTTTCCTAGGAATAGTAAATAATCAACCTGCTATTTGTTTTAACCTCTTAGTTTAATGACAGTCATCTGCTCTAAACAGCGTAGTATTAGTCATTTGCTTATGCTCTGACAGAGAAAAGTATATGTCCTATTATGTGGAAAATCCTGTTTGATTTCTCAAATTGTTTGTTCTTCTAAATCAAATGAGTTTATCTAACAATTTTTAATTTTTACAATAATGCATTTAAAATCAATGGCAATACAGTATTCTTTCAACTCATGAAAAGCTAAATATAAAGACAGGAATTTACTGGCAAGAGCTCTAGTTTTGTAGAAGCAGCTTGTACATGTCACTTTTTGTGTATTAAATCAGTTGATCAGTTAATTTTATTCATGTTTTTAGTGTGGCTTGACTTGAGAACCCAGTCAACAGTTGAACGGCTTCTTAAAAGAATTCCAGGAAAAAACAAAGCCTATTTTAAGGTAAGAGATATTCCAGAACATTTAAATAGTAGCTGAACTCTTATTGCTATGGTATATAATGTTTTGGAGATGTGTGCTTAAAATTCCCCAAAACGAAGTCAGTCAGTTGTAGCTTCTAGTCACTTCTTAGCTTGTCAAATAATAAAAAATGTGCATAATATTATACACCAATCTGAGACTGAAAAGTGTTTATTTTCCTCAAAGTCAGTGGTTAACACTCCTTACATCTCTCACTAGAGGAGTTAAATGACTAATCGTTAGTGAGATTTAATCATGTGCTACCTATCCAATGATAAGTAAACATCACACACAGAAATTGAGAGCAAGTAGAAAAGAACTGTCTGGAAAATAATTTATTGATGTGAAATATATTATCCTTTCTCATCTTATGCCTTAATATTGAAATTAATTGCAACCAATCTGAGAACTGGGAAGATAGTTTATAAACAGCAATTTCATTCTTTTTTTTATATGAGTGTATATATATATATAACAATTTGGAAAATAAATGCTTGCAAAAAGGTGTCTTAATTCTTTGTTTTATATTTTCCTTGATTTATTGTATAAATATTATATATTTTATATATTGTATGTTTTCCTATAGGCAGGAAATGGATGTCAAAAAGCATATAAACTTACTTGATTTTTAACTTCTCGTAGGATACAAGTTCCATCTTTCCTGTGTCATGCTGCTCATTTTTGTTGTCGTTACTTGCTGTCTAGTCATATGCAGATATCCTAGATAAGACAGGACTTCTGCAAACAACTATTTCCATGTAAATGGTCTTTGAACTGCATTTAGATCAGCTTTGATCTTTGTCCATTAATGCACTGGTCATTTGTTTTTCATATTTTCAGACTTGTGTATTGTATGCTTAGTACTTACTTAAATAACAAGTTTGTGTAATTTCTCTGAGGTTTGTGTCTTTGTTTTTTCACTTACTATCACCATTTTTATATGTAACTACAGTATTCATGGAAAAGGTACTTGCATGGTGTTTAAATGATTTTTTTTTTATTTTACAGTTTAGGACTGGTCTTCCACTTAGCACTTATTTTAGTGCAGTGAAACTTCGGTGGCTTTTGGATAATGTGGAAGAGATTAGGCAAGCAGTTGATGATGGAAGAGCTATGTTTGGGACTATTGATTCATGGCTTATATGGGTATGTATTTGTGAGTTTATTATCACTCTTTTAAAAATTAATTTTCATATCATGCAAATTCCTGTGCAAAGGACAGTGACACATGAGGCCCACTGATCACACAGTGATGTCAATACAAGCTACTAAAGAAATTCCATCAAAGTTCCTTACAATATGAACTTTTACTGTCCCTGTATCACTATATTTTCTTTTTGTAGGTGCTTATGTGTAATTTACCACTTATAGGTTGCTGTAAAATTTTGCTCATGCTTTTGGAAAAGTCTTGGACTTTAGAAAGGTGTATTAGACACCTTTACAATATAAGAATACAGGAGGTACTGTTGTACCCTTATTACCTCTCTCATGCCTTTCTTCTGCTATAACAGGTCCGCCTTTTTACTTGTTGCAGAAATATCAGAGTTCCCAGTCCCAAGCTGAAAGCTTTGTAAATTTAGAATTTTTTTTTTTTTGGTAATGTGTTGAAATAAACCTATCTGTTTTCTTGGCAAATACTGTTGATATTTATTTTGTTCAGAGTTTGACAGGTGGAAAGAATGGAGGTGTTCACTGTACAGATGTAACCAATGCCAGTAGAACAATGTTGTTCAACATTCATTCCTTGGAATGGGATCCTGAGCTCTGCCAGTAAGCTCAGTTTTTCAGTAATACTGTTATTTAAATAGATTCTACAAGTGATCTGTGAAGAAACTCATTTAATAGTAAGAATCTCTTATCTAGACTAAGATCAGCAATCACTGTTGTATTTACTGTTAGTAATTAAGATTCATTGTTATCCAGAAGTCCAAATTACAACTGCCTGGATTAATTAAAAGTAGCAGATTTTTCCTGTAGGTGGAAGACAGGTTCATGGAAACAATGACGTTTAATAGTTTCTTTATTCCTTAATCAAATTTGTAAGGCAGTTACAATGATAGTGTCTCTATTTTAAATTTAAATTTATTAACAACAATATTATAAAGATATTGCTGGAAGAGGAATGACTTCCCACACGAAAGATTTGGATAAGTCTTCAAAATATTCAAGTATATGCTGTTTTCCTCCATAATTCAGTGTCACATACTGTAACAAGTGGAAAAACACACAGTGATGGATTAAACTCTAGAAATCAAAGTTCCTTTTGTAGTTTTTTTTTTCTTTACAGCTTAAACTTATTGAAGGAAATAAATGCAAAATGCTTTCTGATTTAGCACTGACCATATATATAAACTATTTTGTATTGTTTTCAGGTTCTTTGATATTCCTATGGAAATACTCCCAAAAGTACGAAGCTCCTCTGAGATTTATGGCCTGATGGTAAGTTTGCTTGTGTGTATGTGAAGTTAATCTTGTAAAAATATAACTACATCAGTATAGATTTGCCAGAATTTCCATAGGTTAAGACTAGTGGCTTTTTCTAGACCACTGTTGTTTGATTTATGATTAGTAAGTCATTATCTACTCTTGTATAATATTATATGAAGTTGAATATTTGTTGTTTTCTCTTTTAAGTGTCAAATAGACAAAGCAAGATGTGAGAGGTTTTTGATAAGGATAATAATTATTCATACATAAAAATAAGGATAACAATTTGATTTTTTATTACATTTACTTATTGATTTAGAAACTACCCATCAGAATGCAATGTATAATCAGTAGATTAAAAGAATGAGATTGCTGTAATTAGAGCACAATATTTTTACTTCTTGTACAATTGAAAAGAAGAGATGAAAATTGCTATGGAAGTCTTTGTGATCTAAGAAGACTGGACAAGACGTGTAATGTCTTACTTCCAAATAACTGAAGGCAAGATTAGTCAGCTTCTGTGAACTGGAAAATCACAAGTGACACCTTGAATTGCCTTCTTTTTGAAAAATAAACTTCTCTTGCCATGTATATTTACATAGCACTCAGTAAAAAAAAATATTTTTTAATATCATGATGTCTTTTTAATCACACTGTTTCCAGTGCAGCTGTGAATATTTCTTAGGAGTAAATCATTAATTGTTTTCATGGGGCTGAGGTTTCAAGTTTAGTTTGATGCAGCACCAACTATTCTGAATCAGTGACATCTAATTTATTAGCTTCAGAATCAGATAAACTGGATTTTGTGATTTTGCATTCTTTTTCCTCATAGTTTGCCCTATTGTTTACTAAGAACATACAGGCTTTTTGTAATTAAGACAAGTTATGGAGATTTTTATTTAAAATATAACTCTTACTTGCCTGAAATGTAAGTATTTTTGCTAATCTCTTAATGGAGATGCCACTGGAAGTCATTGCTGACTTTTATTAATGTGACGGTCAGATGAGAGTGAGTTGTATTAAGCTGAATTTTTGAGGTAAATGGAAAAAGATACTACCTGGCAACTGAAACGTAATAGCTGGTCAATTTAAATGTGAACTTTTATTTCTCTTCCCCTTTCCTTCCATTTTTTTTCTTTTTCTTCCTTTTGCTGACTGTAGAAAATCTGTCCTAGCCTGGTGAGTAGAGTCTTCCATTAGGCTGACCACCTATATCTTATCCATTCTGTTCAGATGCTGTGCATTTCCATTGGTTTAAGGATTAGTAAAAGCACACTTTCTAGACCAATAAATTTGGCGGGTATTTCCAAATTTGAGATATTACAATTAGAGTTCATGCCAAAGTTGTTTCTAAAATGTAATCTTGATGTATGCATTTGCCTTAATTTGCAGGCTGCTGTTAAACATTTCTTTTTACAGTGAAGTAAAAAGTAAAACTACTGGCTAATAAATGTTGGCTGTCTCATTTTATGTCTCATTTTTAAATGAGAAAAGCAGGCCATTCTGTCTACAAATATTCATTCTATTATAGTGAAACATCAGATTCATGCAGGGGGTTTTATTGCATTTATAAACTCAATTACCTTAAATCCAGTTAATTAAAATGAGAATTAAAGAAAAAAAGATTCAGATTGGAAATGCACTTGTATGGCCTCATGAAAATGCATTTTCACAATTGCACAAAGAAACTAAAGAAAAAAATAAAAATTGTCAGGATGTAAACTTCTTATGATACCTATTACAAGAACGCAACTGAAAAACTGCATGGTTGTGTTTGGAAGAAGTTCTATATGAGACTTAAAATGCTGTGTCTTAAAATGAGGCATCTGTCTTTGCTTAGTGTGTCATCACAATCACGTTTTTTTCTAGTGACTTTACCATTTTGCACTTTTGCATTTTACACTTGACACTGACTGCACAGATTACACTGAACCTAATTTTCTGTACAGTATGATTTCAACAAAATTTATGTTAAGAACTGTTGAGGTGACATAAAGTATACCTGTAAATTTCCTGCTTTCTGTTTTTTAGTGTTTTAGGCATGAGATGCATTAAGCTGAAGTCCAATGTACACCTGAACTGAACCACATTGATTACGTGACCCTTCTTTGTTTTCCTTTGAGCATTACAAGTTTAGCTTCTTTTTCATTGCCTTAAACTGTAGTCATGGAAAGCTAATTTGGAACTTTTCTTTCTCTTTTTGCGAATCAGAAATCTGGAGCTTTGACAGGTGTACCAATTTCCGGGGTAAGTCCTATTTCAATTCAGATTCTGGCATGAGGACCTGATACTGAATGAACATATCTTCACTGAAAGAACTTTAAGATGGGTGAATCCTGCTACAAATTCAGTTGATGTTTTTTTACTTCATGTTAAACATGAAGTTAACTTTTGAAGTTGAATTATTAATTGACTGGATCTTCATTACTAAGTTAAGGTCTGGCTGTGGAAATACAGCTGATGGCTTTAATGCATATGTGTAGTGCTGTTGGAAACTTAGGATCTCTAAGTAAATGAGCAACATTACAAAATAGAAGCAAGCTCTGCTTTATATATAAAAGGAGTTCAGTATATGCATAATCTAGAAATGTTGGGCAGATTCTCAGCTTTTTCCAATACAACATGCATAAAGATAGAAAATTTTAATTTGATTTCTTTAAATTGTTCACCATAAGTAGCACCACACATTTCATTTGCAGTTCTTACAGAGGGGAGGGTAGTAAAAAGCACAGGTTGTCTCTATAGATTTTTCCTTACCTTCAATTATCTGCATGCTCCTAATAGATTAGAGTTATAGTTAATTATATCTGTTCATGTTCCTTTTTCATTCGTGTGCAGACATTTGCTAAAAAAAAACCCAATCTCTTTCCAGTGCTTGGGTGACCAGTCTGCTGCTCTTGTTGGGCAAATGTGTTTTCAAGATGGGCAGGCAAAAAATACGTAAGTTATTATGAAAGTTGTAAGATAACACACTGTTCTGTTTTGAATTTAGTATTATGTTCTCTTACAAGCTAACTGCCAAATGCTTTTGTAGTTACTGCATAACTACAGCTCTACCTTTTGACTGTGTTGACCTACGAAGTAAAGAGTGTCCTGACTTTTATAAATAGTGAAGATATTAAAGTTACATGGCTTGTGAGGTATATTTTGGAACAAAGTCATTGTGAGGAAATATGTCTGTGTGACAGAAGGTTTTTCATTTTAAAATTCTCCAAACACAGATTAAAACAGTTGCAGTATCATTTAAATTGTGACCTAAAGTTAAACAAATACAGGCCATGTGAGTTAGATTGCATAGACCTGAATGACAAAAAAACCACAGCATTGCTAGATGGGAAAGGTTAATTTTGGTTGCAGTGCTTAGTTTTGCTTCTGTGTCTAGCTCAGTGTGGAGAATTTCACATTTGTTTTTTTTCTATTTCTCAGCCTCTTAGTATCCCTTGTTTAAAATAGCTGATCAGTTAAATCAGGCAACTGGTGTAATCAAACATTCATTTGAGGAAAAGCTCTCTGCTTAAATGACTTACTGTTCCATTTACAACTATGTGCTTAACTGAGCATGTAGGTACATACACAGTATGGGACTTTCACAGATTTAATTACACATTAATCTATTCTTGTTGCTAATTAACCTTCACTTTATCTTTTATATTTATACACAAATTTAATGGTTAGTGGCCTTGTATTTTAGTATAACAAACATGATTGTAGGTAATATTATCAAAAATATTTTTGTAAGAAATACTTTCATAACACAACAGACCTTTTGGAAAAAAGCCAGCTAAACCAAAAGGTAAAAGTGAGATTTTTTAACCTATTTGTGTTGTTGCTTTACCCTTTTTCTCTCCAAATGTAACTGAAGGCTATCTCAGTACTATTTTAAGCTATTAATTTTCAGGGCATTAAAAAGGTAGGGAACTCATAATTTCTTAGAATAAGTTAGAGTGGATTTTAAGTATTTTGTACTCCTTTTATTAAACTTTGTCCTTATACGTGTATGTATGCACACATATATGTGATGTGGTCTTTGAATGAGAAATGTGCCATTTTTAGAAATTTTTGAACTGAATATGTTTAAAGAAAACCGTCTTCTTTGTGACAGGAACAAAGTTTCTTAAATTTTCCCCCTTAAAAGCTTGAATTTAATATTGTGAAATATTTATTTTATAAAGTAGCTTTCATAATCGGCTTAAATTGAAGTAGGTAAACACTACCACCAAAGAGGAATTCACACTTAGTTTTCAGCCATATCTGCTCCTTGATCAACTACTATACAAGAAATAGCCAGAGAGAGAGGTGTGGGACTAGATTTTTCAGCTCCAGGCTGCATTTAAATAAACTTTTTGAGGGTGGTTTTATCATTAGCTAATGGTAACATAACCTTCAAGGGGCAAAAAGTGGAGTCATGGATTCATGAATTACAGTAACAGTTTATCCTTTAAACATCCTGGGTTTAACTTTGCTTTGCTTTCATGCTAGGTATGGAACAGGATGCTTCTTGCTGTGCAATACAGGTCAGAAGGTCAGTTGCATTTTTCAGTTGTTCAATTTTATTTTTACAATCTTATTAAGATCTTGAGTACAACTATGTATTAGCCTTTCTTAAACTTATTGATAACTATTATATTGCTAGAGATAAGGAAAAATGCATTCGGAAATCTGAAGGAATAGAAAGTAATAATTTTTTCAAGGTGTTTCAGTAAGACTCCATTTCCTAGCTCTGTAAGTTTCCGAAAAGAACTTTTCATAACAAGTTTCTTGCTCTTTCCTTGTATATGTTTCTTAACCTCACCCAGAAGTGCTGAGTGTTGTGTTACTTAACCACATGCCTTTCTTCTTGTCTTGGCTATTTTATTTCTTCCCTTCGTTTTCTCCCATTGTTTCTTTGTAGTTGTAGTTGAATAAATAATGCAAAGCTTTGGCTTCCTTCTCATTCACATCTCCTTCTAAAGACCCCCAATTCTTTGCCATAAGGAGGCTGGAAAGATCTGAGGTAGCTTGTGGAAATGAGAGTTAATACCAGTGATCTGAGGGTTCTGTCTTAGGTGTTTATTCAGAGTGACTGATAGTTTACTTTGTTTAAACTTTCCATATTTCATTTTTTTTCCAGTGAAGGTTTTGTCTCTTGTTTATTATCTTCTGAATATTTGTATTTAAATATTTTCTGCTTCTGTTCATGCTTTACCTTTTCTTTCCCCTCTCCCCATTTAGTCTGTGTTTTCTGAGCATGGTCTTCTAACCACAATAGCTTACAAACTGGGCAGAGACAAACCTGTTTGTTATGCACTAGAGGTAAGTCCAGTAATTTCTTCTTTTTTGTAGTGATACCTGTTCTTGTTTACTTCTGTTTTCTAGTATCCTTATGTTATCTTCAGCTGCATGGAAATCAAAATAGCTTTGTGTTATAGTTTGTGTGCCTCAAGGCTTATGTGTGGTTTTGTTTATCCCTATCTTCAATCTGTATCACATAATCTAGTAAAAATATTTCTACATTGCATCATTTATATTTTCAGGGCATGACGGCTAAAGCATTTTTTCTGTTACACAGTCTTTCAAATCTTTAATAAATGTTACATATAAATAAAAAAATTTATACTAAAATTGGATTTAAAAAGAGGGGGAAAAGTCCTCTCATAATAAAAGTCATAACTAAATATCTTTGGAGTTTATTTCATTCTAATGGATTTTACTTCTAACTTTAAAAAATCTGAACCAGATTTCTGGGACAAGAATCCTCTAACAATTGAGATCTTTTTTACCTACTAAGACTTAGGTGCCTAATTCCAGAATTTAGTTTCTCAACTCTCCACACAACTCTGAGGGCATCCAAATTCTGTAGAAAATTGGATTTTTACTTTAACTTCAGGGTTCATTGTTCTAAAACTCTGCTTCTGAAGCACAGATCAGCTGAGCACCTATTTGGCACCAAAGCTTCATTGGGAATAACAGAATGATTATTCTTCTATCTGTGTTGCTTAGTGGGCTTGATCTAATAGTTATTCTCAAAACACGCATACTGAATTCTCTGCTGCTATTGAGATTTTGTAGAGAGCCTATGTTTTCCATGTGAAACAAAGACAACACACAGGATTTTCTTCACTGGGAGAATAGTTTGTGGCTTACAGTGCTTTACTAGGATGTGGGAGGCTGTGTTCATTTCCTTTTTCTTCCCTAAGGAAAGTTGATCTCGCATTTGCCATATTCTGGCAAACTTTGGGGTTTTCATTTTGTGCCGGTGTGCGAGAGGTTTGTTTTATTTTTAACCCATGCTCTTGAAGCAAGAACTGGTACTGTCTTGAGAGTGATTTGTATTTCTGCATGCTGAAACACATGCATGTGTACTTTGCTTCTTCCTCATCTCCAAGTCTTTAATGATATTGGCTGAAGAAATGGCTTCAACAGAAGATATTAAGTGTCCTTTCTCCTGTATCCATGCTAGAATCATCTACAATCTGCTGGTTAAGACACTTTCCAGAGACACAAAAAATGCAGATTCAGCCTTTTCTTTTAAACTGATAGCTTGTAACTGTAATAGCTAGCTGGTTAGAAAATACCCCTGCTCCTTCTAGCAACGGCTTTGAATGAAAATATAATGCTCTTCCCATTTTACTTGAAGCTTACTCTAGTAAACTTGAGACTGTCTTGAAGAGAAGTCCGTTTGGACTTTGGAGTGAGACAGGAGCCATACCATTCATCTGTGATATGATGGAGCCATTCAGGGCCGTTCACTGAGACAACAGAGCAATTTTGCTGGCAAATGCAAGTGCCTAAGTTTTCTGCCTCTCTGGGCATTTGTATTTAGACTCTAGACATAATCAGTCTTGGTTTGTTAAATCAAAGCATAAAAATCGTAATAACTCTTCAATAATTTGTCAGAAAAAGAAGGCTAAGGCTGCTGGACTTCATAACTGTATATTCAGGAGAAGACCTAAATTAGAGAGACAAGAAGACTGCTTAGCAAATGTCATGGTAACTCTCCCCCATGAGAAGAATCACGCAATATGCACCTTTTCTACATGGAGCCTGTGTAACAGGCTGCCATTTTTACGCGGCAGTCTCCAGCTGCCAAGAAACTTGTGGTTTAGTTGTGAGCATTCTTGGGAGTGCTTTAAGCTGTGACTGTAAGCCTGCAATTGGAGGCCGCAGCTACCCCTCCTCTCCAGTCCTGTAAAAAGGAACACGAAGCTACCAGTTGTTGTCTCCTAATGTTGTAGTGATTTTGTTTCTTTCAGGGATCTGTTGCAATAGCTGGTGCTGTTGTTCGTTGGCTAAGGGACAATCTAGGTATTGTTAAGACTTCACAGGAAGTTGGTGAGTATTCACAATTTGGAGCTGTTTAGTTTTTTAATTTTCTTTTCCAATGTCTTGCTGTCTCTAATGTTGAATGAAAGCTCAAAGTATTCAAGTCAAGAAAAGCTGCGAGATGCATATATATTTTGCTATGTTTGGACAATTTGGTTTGCATCCATGAAATCACTGTTTATTGATATATGTGTTTCATACAGCATATCAATACAGTCTTTGAAACCCTTTGTCAGCTTTGTTGTATTGCAATCTGTACTTTTTAGTAGTTTCCCTAGCAAGCAGATATTCAGGAAGATACTATACGTACAGTGTATTTCCTGGTTTCTTATAATTTTGAATTTTCCAGAGCCAAGACTATGTAAGTCTGCTACAGAAGCCAGAGCATATTTGATCCTAAACCTACATATTCATTCCTGTCATAAACATGAGAACCGGAGGCCCTACATATGCAACGATTTATGTAGAAGGCTTCATATCCATTAAGTTAGGGACTTCAGTTTGCAAAGCTGCCTCTTACAGGAACTGTGGAGGATGGTAATCTGTTTTGGCTAAGAATACAGTAATCCTTTAGCATTTGGGGAACTGATGTTTTCTGCTTGAGCTGAACTGAAACAAGCTGGTGGGTGACATTATAAAGACTAGGAATATATCAAACTTTGAAAAAGGAGAAAATGTCAGAAGCATGCAAGTGTAACAGTTTGAAAGTGACTGACTTGATGAGATTAAGGATTAAAAAACATTTCATTACATATTTTTAATAATTTGATATCTTATTCAAAGGTGGAAAAATTCAGAATTCAAATTTTATGTAAAACTTCAAAGATTAAGCAAAAATTAAAACATCAGCCTGTAAAGAAAGCTTTGCAGATCATACAGAAGAATATAAACTACTGTCATGTGAATTAACCAGCTGTTGAAACACTACAGTACCTCTTGGCTTCACGAGTTTGACTAGACCTTTGGAAGTTTTGAGTTTCAAGAACTTTAATCTCGTCAGTGTTCTTAGTGTCATGTGGGACTTCATCATCTCTTCCTGTTTCCCTGAACATGTCCTTCCTTCTCCTTTCACTCCTTTTTTAGGTGGAGTCTGTATGAAAGCACCATTTTAAAAAGACTTTGAATAAATTTTCCTATCTCTTTTCTCTATTACTATGCTTCTCTGATCAATGCAGAGGAAATTTACAAAAGCAGAAAAAAGATACTTTCCTTTCTTGTTTATGAAGGACCTGCACATTAGCATTACTTCCTTTGCAGTTCTCGATGTTTTAATATAATTTTTAAAATTACAAATATTTTAATATTGTGGAGCTCAGCTATCCAACATCATTACTCAGATATTAAGAAACCTCGGATTTCCTTGTAACTGGCCTTGTGATTATATACGTAAGCTGAGAATTTAGAACTCTAAATCCATTTGAAATTAATGGGAATTTAGTTCTTAACTCCCTTTGGTCTTGATCCAGTTTCACTTGCTTGCCCTGACTTAAATGCAAGTAAATGTGACCTTTTGGACTGCTTTGAAGGTTGCATTCTTTACCCACAGGATACCCTTTGAAAACATCACAGAATCTAGGTCAGAATATTGAGTACACGAGTTTGGTTTTCGGTTTTGATTTTTCATTTTGTATTTTACATTTCCCACAACTCCCTATAACCCATCTTCTGTTCATATTGTTGCAAATGGACAACTAGTTAATGAGAAGCAGAGTGCTGGAAGTGTATTTTCTAACTGTATGTGGCTTGATTATTTTTGTAGCTACCTAACATATTCTGAATATTTTCCCTATTTAAATAATAACACTTTTAAGTGTCACATTTAAGTTTTGGTACCTTTGTTAAAAGCTAAGTGAAGACTGTTTGTGTGTGTGCATTAGAAAAACTGGCCGCGGAAGTGGGGACTTCTTATGGCTGCTACTTTGTGCCAGCATTTTCAGGACTGTATGCACCATACTGGGAACCCAGTGCAAGGGGGTAAGGATCTGACTAAACACTGCATTTGCAGGGAGATTTAATGATTTTACAAATACTATCACTAGTTCTTCCAGGTATGTGAAACTGTTCTTTTCCTTTGATGTGTCTGGATACATCATTCTCTGTGGTATCTTCAAGCAACTACTGCGTATCTGTTTTGTATCTAATCTGTTCAAAACAGCAACTACTACTGGGAGAAAAAGAAGGATTAGCTAGCTCAGCTAGTCACCCTCATCTTGCCCCCACCACCACCCCCAAAAAAAGGAGGGGGGCGGCAGGGGGCAGGGGAAACATTTGGGCTGGGTTGTGTGTTTCAGAGGACAGGTACAAGATAGTTCTGTCGTTCTTGCCACTAATGGAGCCAGCTTTTTTTTCTTCACACATTTCTGATTCTGAAAGGACATCTGCATACCTGTGAGCTGTCAGGCAACAAAAGTAGAAAATGAAGAATTTAGTGCTGATTAGTTTTTTTGAGCTCAGTTTCCCATGGCTGCTGCATTCACTATTTCAAATGATACAGGCTACTTCATTCCTCCCCACTTCTCCTCCCTCTCCTTCCCCTTATGTCCAGCTTTCTTTCCAGTCTATTGAATACTCTTTTCTGCTCTCCTTCAAGTCCCATTCCTGGTTGTTAAGACTTAACTAGCTGGTACTAGTTAGAACTACTTGTTCAAACAATAACCTTCCATTTGTCTTTTCTGCTATTGTGAGGTCACCTCCTGTTGCTGGAATCACAACATGCCATGGGAGTAACAGAAGCATAACAAATTTAAATATAAAATAGCTTTCCTAAAGTCAGAAAAGAAATCTTAAAGAAAATCTTGTTTCCAAGGTTTTGAGTAGTTGCATCTTTAAAATTTAGATGCTTTTTGTACGTAGGGAAGAAAAAAATCTTTCAGTTAGATGTTTTTACACTTTTTAGGATCATAGTGCTTAACTTTTTAACTGTTAAAAGCTGATATTTGGAACGGCAACAACTAAAAATGTCTTTGAACTTGCATGTATCCAGCACCAAATATAGCTTCATTTCTGTGTAGAATGCTACTATTCCTCAGATGTTAAAATAGAATAAAAGGATGATTATTTGCTCTGCAGTTCAGAGTACCTTGACAGAATTGAGCTTACTCACGGTTAGATGCAGCATAATTTCCATAATCAAAAATCTCTTTGAAGGTGCAGAAACAACTAATGATCAGAATAGATCTGAACACAATTTTAAGCATTTAGAGCATAGCACTGATGCAGCTGGGCTTTTCCTTAAGAATTTAAAGACTAGAATTAAGATTTTAGTGATAGATGATATTTTCTAAAGAACAATCAGCCTCTATCATACATTTCCTTTTCTTAAAGGAAGACTAGAATTTTTGTGTGTTTGTGTGTGTATGGGTGAATATGCATCCATCTGCATGCAGACTGGCAATAAAATTTTAATTTATGGCAATTGTATTGATTGGACACTGAAACCATGTTTGTCAGGAAAACAGGGCTGAGAGACTTTAGATTAAAGAGAAACAAGCTTTTTAATATTGAAAAGCAGTCCTCATACAAATGAACTGAATGAGTTTTGAATTAGAAAGCTTAGGTCTGAAGTAATGGTGTATGTCTGGTAAAGAAGTATGTCCTAACTGTTTGTTTTTTTTTTTCTCTTCAACAGTATTATCTGTGGCCTTACTCAGTTTACAAATAAAAACCACATCGCCTTTGCTGCACTTGAAGCGGTTTGCTTTCAAACACGAGAGGTAAAGGCAAATTGGGTCCTAAATACATTGTAAATTAGTATAATAACAGGGACCGTAGCTCTTCAGGAAGACAGAGGATTGAAGAGATTTAATGAAGATTAATCATATGCTTTATATTGTACTTTGATGCTATTCTTCTCTTTACATGGTGCTGATGTTGAAAAATTGTTCCTGTGGGCTTAGCTACAATGATGTGGTTGGGTGGTACATTATTTTGGGGTGGCAGTGCTGCTTTTTAACAGCACTTAAAATAAGGTGAACATACTTTGTGAATATGTTGAGAGGCAGAACATAGAAACATTGAAATGACAAGGCCAGTGCCATAACTAAAAAGTTGCATTTGGTAGGAGACTACATTTTATATTGTCTGCTGTGACAGAGATAGCTTATGTTGCTTCTGGTACACAAGAACAAAAAATGAGTTAAAGCAAGACAGCAGCAAACATACCAAGGGAAATCTGGATTCACTTCCTGCCCATTACATCTTGTATTACCTTAGCTGGCGTTCTGCAACAGCAAACCTAAATTCTCACATAAGAAATGAATCCTCCAATCAAATCAAAGGGGTTGATATCAGTATATTCTGAGCATTAGAATCTTTATATCACCATCTACTATCAATTTACACTCCCTGTGTTCCATACAAATACAGGAGAAAATGAAATCCCTAGACCTCAGAGGGTAACAGTCAACCTTAATTTGATTGCATGTTTCTAAACTGCTCATGTTTAAACACACTGAGTTTTAAAATAACACCCGGCTAAAACCATGTGAGCGGAGGAAAGCAGCTTGCTGTTTCTGTAGTAACATAGAATAGAGTAAAAAGTACTCATGTGGAAAAAGACAGCCAGAAATCTCACCCAGGCGTCTGCTTTTGAAGCTGTGCTAACAGCCTCTGAGTCCTCAGAAAGTTGTAAAGGAGCTTGGAAGTAGCATATATCTCTAATTCTGGTACTAGAAGTCAGGGTAAAGTTACAGGGAACTGAACCGATAGTTCGGTTTGTTGTCTGCTCCTCTCTTTCCTTGTCCCTCCTCCCATCCATTCCCTCTCATATGACAGCTCAATGAACTTTCCAGCAGAAAATTATCCCTCTTTTTTGCTGGGCTATTTTTCTGCTGAATTAATGACCTCAGCTGCCTCGCAGAGGAGTGTAGCAAATGTCAGAATGAGAGACAGGGCATGTGGCTGGGAGTAGGAGGGAGGGGGGAGTAAAGCTGTCAGACTGAGTGAGGGTGAAGTCAACTGTTTGAACAGATCTAATACTTCCTCATACTTTAGACAATGTGCTTTTATCACAATGACAGGAGTGCCTGATCAGGTCTCTGGACACGCTTAAATTAACAGACTAAGTCCTAGTGACACAGATAAAATATGTGTACATTTTTCAAAGATACATTGTTAGTTCTGTCCTGTCAGAAACAAAGTTCTTTTGTTTTAATTCCAGTTAAAATGGAAGTCTTTTGTATCCTTCAGGAAAAACCTCAAATTTCATGTTCATTGGAGTTTTTGCTTGGTTTATTGTGCCATCCAGTCCTTCTAAGTCTCTTTTCCTTATTATACAAAAAGCTCCTTCCCTGTGCAGACAGATGAAACTTGTAACGTTTCTTCTTCCAGAAGGCATTATGAAAAAATAAGCAATTTTTCAGTTCTAAGAGCTGTACAATGCTGTCATTAGACAAAACTTACATACTTGGATACCTTGCTTTTCATCCAACCTCAGTACAATAGAGAGAGCAGCAGCATGATCATGATTTGGTTTGTTCCTTCATCCCTTCCTGATTTCTAGCATTCTTTTCATTTTTTTAATCTCTACCAAGTGCATGATCCAACATGCTCTTGCACAGTGGTGAACAAAGCCAGAGCCTCCAACAGTATGTGTATGTAAAGCTGAGATTATGAGGCACTGCTGAAGTTCTGAAAGGTAAAAAAAGCAGGTGAAGTCAGCATAGACGAATGCAAAAAGAAGGAAATAAGTGGTAGGGAGCAGTACTAGCTTAGTACTGCCACCAAACTTTGCTGCTGTGCTATGAATCCTCTTTTCCAGGTTATTTCTAATGTATTGAACAGCACAGGCCTGTGGATAGATGCTGCCACCATGAAAACTGGCCTTTTAACTTCTAATTTTAACCATTATTTATCCTGTGGCAGTTCTTTTAGTTCCTTTAAAGATTTTCTGGTGACAGACCTTGCCGACTTACTTTCTGGGAATGGGTAGAATCTACTGGACAACTGATCTCTATATAGCTTTTACTAGCTTACAAACCTACAATTTTTCTGTTCTTTTTTAAAAAAAACCATGTTGACTTTTCCCAGTAAGGATTGTATAATAAGGTATCTTGTGAACTACAGAACAGCACGGAATGCATTATAGGTTTGGTCTCTTTTGTGGTCTATGTTGCTTTGTCATTTGAAGCTGAGAAAAGCACACATTTTTTTTATTCAAATAAATTGAAAAATTACAAAGATAAAATCATTCTGCACTAGTTAATGCCTAACTTTGTCAACAAAAATTATGCACTAACCTTAAAAAATGTAAATGAGACATTTAATTGTCTGTCCTTACAAAACCCTATAAAATCCACTATTCTGCATTTAATAGGTGCTTGTAGGATAATGCCATGGTGTTACCAGTAGCTAAGGTTTGAGGCAAATCTTATTAGGAAACCCTCTAAAAAGCATATCAATAGGTATCAGTGAATTACATACTTCACTCTTAGTTAATTATCCCTTGGAAACACTTCAACACTTTTCATTTATTTCCAGCTATCCACTGTGCCCAAAAGAAGGAAGCATAATTTTACAAAAAATTACACTAACAGTTTATTTTTGCAGTCTATCTCGTGTAATGTAAAATTCTCAATTTTCAGCCACTAACGGAAAATATTTCAAGATGCTGCTCTTTCAAAACAGTTCAACATTCAGCTGTTCCTATTGAAGTGTCTTCCAGACTGCCAGTTTGAACGTTTTAATTTTTCAGTTCTTTAATGCATCAAATTAGAGAAAGTACCTAGCAAACTGTAATCAGCTAAAGGACTCCATTTAGTATTACTTCTTCCTTTATTAGCTTTAATAAATGTTGTAGTTGTCATCAGCTTTTCTTCAAAATTCTTCTCTCAGACCATATAACCAACACATAGGCTAGATATAGAGCATCAGAGGAGAAACATCTCCTACACTAGGATTTCTGTAATAAATAGAATGCATTTGCTGTAAATTAAACAAAACTGTGTTGTTACTACCTCTATTTTGCTCTCTCAATATGTAGGGGAGGGGAATTATCTACTTAGCTCTCTTTAGCAAATGCTGAATTATCAGTGTTTTATACTCAGAGGGTGTCATGGATTTCTCTGCAGTTAAATCATAACATATATTACTCTTACTTAAGATTTTAGATGCCATAAACAAGGACTGTGGGATACCACTAAATCAGTTACAAGTAGACGGAGGAATGACCAATAACAAAGTCCTCATGCAACTCCAATCAGACATTCTCTGTATTCCAGTAGGTAAGATGAAATTGCAACTCCTATTTTCTTTTTAAAGCTGAAAACAACATTGGTTTGTAATGGCTAATGAGGACAAATTGGATGGCTTGCTTTGTTGTTGTTGCTGGTCTTTTGCTACTGCTTGAGAATGTTGGGCTTTTTTTCAGAAAAAGTTTTTAGATCTTGCTTCCAGTTTTGAGATTCACTTTCATAGAGAATCACTGACTTATTTCTTGTGTTGAAATATTACAGCACTATGACAGTATTGAACTTTAAAGTTGTCATATCAATTTCTAAACATCTAACAATTTTAAAATGTGAAATGAATGCTCTGCTGCAACGTTGGCCCTGAGAATCTTGCTCAGAGATAAATCAGAACTTTGCACCTCCACTGCTCATTCATGTTTGGTCTTGCATTTCAGCAAATGGAAAATACCCTTTATTCTGTTCCCTTTGCCTGCACAAACCTTTGGGTTTTTAGCTTTTGAAGGATGTGTTTCAATGCACTAAAACTCTTTAAAGACCTCACTTGAAACTTGGAGCGTTTCAGCATCAGTGAAAAGGGTGCATCTTTCTGAAGTCATGTTTTAACACCTGTAGCAGATCTCAGGCTGCTGAGTATTATAAGCTATACATAAACATTTCTAAGGATGCAGTGTGTCACTGAGTAACATCAGGATATTATATATCTTCATCTATACTGAAGACTGATAATTTGCTGCATAAATGTAATAATCTTGCCTAATGCAGTTTCTAGAAAATCATTTAGAAAAACATCGTGTTGTTCCTTATGCATAAATGTGAGACACTTCAGTGGAAAGTTTTTAACTCTAGAGATATTGTAGCTTGCCTTTAATAATACATAATGCACAAGGCTCATACTGTCGGTGCAGATGCACAGTTAACAGATGAAAGGATATGATCAAAAAAATCAGATTTTAAAGGATCCTCTGCCTGAAGCAGATAAGCAGGCAGTTCTAGAGTTAATGGAACAGATTTACCATTCACGTCTTGGGGATGGGATGGTCTTCTGTAGCATCTGTGGAAGGCAAACAAGCTAGTAAGTACAGGTGTGTAACCTCTTTTAAGATGCCTTTTCTAAGTATAAGTGCTTTTAATAACACAACATCTAGACCATGGTAACAAGACTGATAAGTTAGCCAGTAATCACTGCTTTGAGGAGGGAGCAAGAAGACAAGAAAATAGTATATTATTAACAGGAGTACTCTAAGAAAACTGATGGTCGAAGTCAGCAGCCCTGCACGTGGTATGAAAATAAGCAATTGCATGATTCAGTCTTGAAGGAAGTAGTCATCTGAGATATTTCAAAGACTTGGACGACTCATAGGTGAAGTTAGCCTCATAACCATGTGAATGGCAATAAAATGAGGTTTGCAGTTGGTAAACTTAAACGAAGCATATAGCAGTTGTAGAAAATATATATCTTTCTAGATATATATGTAAATCTTTAGTTCTGATGTCATCAAGGTGACTTTCATTAAAAATCATCATGGCCTTCTCTGCAATTTACTTCAGTAAAGCCATCAATGCCTGAAACAACAGCTCTAGGAGCTGCTATGGCAGCAGGAGCTGCAGAAGGAGTTGGAATTTGGAGTCTGAATCCTGGAGATTTGACAGCAGTGACATGTGAACGATTTGAACCACAGATCAACCCAGAGGGTAAAACCCTTTCATGTTATCTAAGAAGTTGCAAACTTAATGTTTTATGTCCAACAGATCATTTTTTTTCTTTGTTGCAGTCTAACATGCTGATAGAAAAACAGCTATATGTGAATAGCCTCAAAAACATTGAATATCAGATTTGTAGTGTTTGGTTTAGAGAAAAGTGCATTTCACTTGCTGTTTTGTCCGTTTATTGACTAGTAAGACTGGGAAATGGTTAAAACAACTTAACTCCACAAGGAAATGTGTTGGGGTTTTTTTCTTTCTTCTTTTTGAAAGCAGCTTGTCACTGGGCGTTGCAGTTAGTAGTTTTTGATTTATAGGAAGCAAAATCAAAGAAACCTTGAAAGGTTTTTACTGAGAAAGATGTCTCCTAAAGCTCCTGTGCATTTGTGAGTTTTCACAGATGAAAAAAGGACAGACTGACTGTTTTGGAGAGACTTTTCTTTTGGGTATAAAAAGCCTACATTAATCATTGTTTTTTAGCTGACTATCTTTTTCATCAGTTCTTAAGTGCTTCTAGAGATGGAAAGCATGTTCTTGACATAATTAATCCATGTGCAAGACAAATGCATTTTTGTCTTTTCAGTTATTTCTTAATTTTTGTTACAGAATTTTGTCTTACCATTTTGATTATAATTACTGCTATAATCCCTACTTCAAGACAGTATTTTCAACACTGAAGGGCTTCTGCATGAATAACAATTGCTTCATTTTGTCCTACTTGTAAATCTTCTTATTGGTGAACATGCAGAAAATGGTTTTTAAGGTTTATTTCTCCTAACTGTGCATAATTGTGGGGGTTTGGGTTGTTTGGGGGTTTGGGGTGGGGGTGGGGTTTGTATTCAAAACAGCATTTTATAATACTTGTTCTGTGCAGACAAACTATACTGTGCAAAAGAGTGGAAAGCTAATATTGTAGTCTTTGCTTCTTAAATACTTGTAGTTGTATTCGTATGCATTGAGAGGCTTTTCTGTTTGCTGATTTCTTAATTTCAGAAAGTGAATATCGCTATGCCAGATGGAAGAAAGCTGTGCTGAAATCTATGGGCTGGGAGACATCTGAAGCTCCTTCAAATGGTAAACCAGAAATTAATGCAGGTCAAGTATTACTAATTAGCCAGTTAGCCTAGGTAGCTGATCTTGAGTTTGGTGACCTTTACTGTTCGTACCATCTCTGGACTATTCCAATGATTTAAAAATTACTACTTAAAACCACTGTGAAAACAAAGCAGGAGAATAGATAGATAGGTCTTCCTCTTGAAAAGAGGGCACAAGCAACATCTTGTAGGGCTCTAAAAACAGAGGACATGAAATCCAGACTAACTGCAGGTTTTGCAGAATAGTATTGGTTTACAAAAGAAAAAAATCTTACCTAGAAGAAGAGATACAGCACAATTCTAAGACAGTGCAGGGATTTTGTAAACTTTCTTATACTATAACCTCATGTTGCAAAGGAGAAAAGTTTCATCCTGTGATTTTTCTTGCTACATCTTGCTTTTATTATTTGCTGTATAGGAAGGAGGGATTGATAGCCACATCAAAATCTGACCAAGAAGGGCTAAGAGCAAGAAGTTATCATAAAGTGAAGAATTTCATAGACCTGTTGTTCACACACAGAGAATATACAAACACTTTTGAGGGACTGAACAAGATCTTTCTTTTGACGTAGAGGGCTTTTTCATCTGTCAGGTTTGAATTAAATAAAACCTGCAGTCTTCTATGATCTATAATTTGAATTTATATTTCAGCACTTTTTCAGGATGAGGTTTGAGTCCTGAATCATCCTACAACACATCATTTATGGTCTTTATCTTAATTTCATTTCCCTATTGTTGGAAAAACTATTAGAATGAAAGTATTAAGTAAAGAATCCTCAAAATGGAAACTCTGCCCACAATCCACAGTTGCAGCCCTCAAGCTGCATGAAGTCTCTTACTTTATTCTTGAAAGCTAAAGCTAAAATTTTCTTTTTACCATCTTATATGTTGGTTTACGTATTTTATTTAACACATTGGTTATACAAACAATTCTGCCAAGGCTATTTGGAAGGGAAATAGGTAACTTATGCTAAGTAACAAGATTCACTTCAGTATGGTCTATTATGGTTTAGTAGCCTTACATCTAAATTCTCTGTTATGGATCCTAAAATCCCAAGTGCTTGATGCGTATCTTACTTACATATCTTTATTTCCTTTTGAAGGATAGAAAATTCTGCCTTGCAGAAAATAAAACTAGATCATGTTCTTCAGCTCATGTGAAATATGTTTATCAAAACTTAGCCTCAGTGATTATAACACTGGACAGGAAAATGTTATTTTCCTTAGTTCTTGCTTTGAAACTTTGTCTCTGCCTGCTGGGAGTGTTTAAGATTGAAGAATGCTAGAAATGGGCTCAACTCAATTACTATTGCTAACAGTGGAATTTGGATTTGAACTCTTATATTGAGAGCCTGTTTTGAATTATTGTGGGGGTTATGCATAATCTTTTTTAGTTTTTCTGCAAATGTCACTACATTTGTTACTTTTTGCTGTTCATATGGTTTTTAACACATATATTGCAATTTATATATATATATTTCTCTTTTGATTTGCTTGACTGGAAACACCTTCCCCTGGATGACATCAGGTGACACTAGTATCTTCTGTAGTCTGCCTTTGGGTTTTTTTATTATGAGTAGCATGATAATGTTAATCGGAGCAAAGTACGTCTCAGGTTAGTTATTATTTGAACTAGATCACTTTAAAAGCTATCTACACTAGTTTAAGTATTGGGTTTTTTTGTATTCCGTCTGTTTCTTTTTAGCAAAAATGACTGATGCTTTTTGTTGTTCATGCACACGAGTGTCTGAGGATATGAATTAGACATATGATACCTAAGGGAACCAAGTGAATGCCATCTTGAATTCATCCTCATGTGCCATGAAATTCGTAATTGTTAGATGCACATGAAACCTTGAACTCCTCCCTCCCTTTGTCTAGCTATGCAGACTGTACACAGTGTATAAAAGGCATATAGGTTGGAGCAGCCTAGCAGAGTTTTGCATTGCCTGCATTACAGCATGCACTGCAGTTAGAATAAGGTTCCATCCTTTATCTTATATTTCTTCTCATAAAGTTTAAATTTATTTTGAGGATCTTGTTTGAATAAAGTAAAGACTTTTCTTCTGTCCCTGAAAGGCTTCATGCACCCCTTTCATTTTTCTGCTCCCCTTGGAGCTATTGCATGGTCAGAAATCTTCATCTGCTAAATCTATAGAATATTCTTTTTGTACTTTGTTCTTGATGGATAAGTGAATTCATTTTGTGTAAAGAGAAGAGACCCTAAAAGGCCTATCTGCAAAACTGGGGAAAGGGACTGTGTGCATATGCAATGAAGATGCATCTTCAACCTATTAATATATGTTTTATTTTAAAAGAAAGTTCTTAATATAAATGATGGCTAGTTACTTATGCCAGAAGTAAGACATTTCATTAAGATATTCTTATGATAAGAAAAAGAAGTTTATATGGTGATGCCATTTGTTCTTTGTTGTTGTGTTTCATAATTTCATTCCAAAGAAAATATTTTACAGTATAGCCATTGTTGCTGCTTAGTAAGCTTTTTGGGGGTGGTTGTTTAGTTTTCTTTCTTTGTTTTGGTTTTGGTGGGATGGGCGGGGGGTGTTAATTAAACAGACAATTGAGGACTCTAGCAAGCTCCTGTGATGATGTGTTTGTATTTTGTTTCTACTCATTCAGCCTGAATTAACTATTCAATTGTAATTTTCCTTGCGTGGAAGAGACTGTCTGAGCTTGTAGGAGAACTAAAATCAAACTAAACAAATGCTAGGCAAAAATCAAACTGAATTGGCATTGATTTACTAACTCTGGAATGTATCTTGATTATGAAGAATAAAATAAAACCAGCTGTGAATAAGTGGGTAAATTTTTAACAAGCTGAACTAAGCAACTTGAATATTAATTCCAGGTCAGGTTCTTCACCACATGGAGGACACCTAAAATAATATGAAGATCAGTGTTAAGTGGGCAGATAAGCAACTTAAATACTGGGCTTATTGCTTTTTAAAAACTACTAATCAGTAACCTGCCTATACATGGTTGGACTCGATGATCTTGAAGGTCTTTTCCAACCTAAATGATTCTATGATTCTATGATTCTAAATATCTAAACTTGCACTGCTGGAAGTCATAAAAAGAGATTTTTTTTTTTTGTCCTTTCCCTAAGCTTGCCAGTGACTTTCTGACCCACAAGTGGAAAACATTTTCATCTCAACTCCCTCTGGCCTTCAGAACCCATTTTCGCCCTTGTTTTCAGATAACAGTAACTATTAGTATAGTTAACTACAGATAACTATTGGTATAGTTACTGTTACTATATATATATAGTTACTATATATACCGATATAGATACTTTATATACCAATATATTGGCATATTATTTACATGGTAAGCTTGGGGACAGGAGAAGTTGCAAGAAATTTCCAGCTGTTACTTGTTTTAAAAATGATGATGTCTAACAAGGAATAGCATCAGTGATGATATGTACAGGTTGTAGTTTTGCTCAGCTATGTGTTAGAATAGGACATGACATACAGAATTTGTGTTGCTGATTGGAGCAGGGCTGCTTCCCCCTTAGATATTTACTCTGGTAAATATCCTTTTGCTTTTAAAAGCCAGAACTACCTGGCCAGACTTTCCTTCTAATTCAGTACAGGAACTCCATTAATTAATTTGTTACATTTTCTCTTTTAATGAAACACTGGAACTCCAATGCAGCCATCAGTATAGTAGGTTTGAGGATTGAATCTACTGAGGATTGAATTCATCCTTCATGTGCTGAAACAGCAGTAAGTCTTGCATGGCAACAGTGCTGTTGTTGAACATGTCTCTGTAGGGCAGGGCCATGATTTTACAGCTACTGAAATGCAAAGGAAAAATCTGCTGTGGCAGAATAGAGAACACTAACGTGGCAAAAACCCATTTGCAGAACTGCTAAACTAACTGCCTTCTCATGCAGCACCTCTTGACTGAATATGAAGAACAATACTGTATTTCATTATATCATTTTGTAATTTCATCAAAATCAGGTCAATTACTTGTAGCTTACTTTATGATCTTCATTCTTGTCTCCCAGAGGAGAAAGGGCCAAACGTTTTGGTTTATTTCACTATTAAAGCAAGTAGTGTGTAGTGACTGGTGTCCTTGTGCTAAGACTCTATTAAGTTTTTCACACTAGTTTTGGAAGTGGACATCTGAGAGGTTTCAACATATTGTGTAGCTGTACTTTTTTGGTGGGTGGGAGTTAACTGAAAGTGATACTATATTTTATTAGACTCAAATTTAAAGAAATGCCTTTGCATGCTTAAATTGGCAGCTCTCACGTGAGATATAAGTAGGGATTGGATATCTACGGGATCTTATGTGACTTCTGGGGTATACAATTCTTTGACTTTGTTCTCACAGAATAAGGTGTCAATGCTGATAGTAATGCTGTATTCTTCCTGCTTAAATACCCTTTGGATTTTTTTTTTTTAAGATTCTGTTTTTCCTTTTTAGTTTCTTGCGCTGTGATAGTTACTGTCAAATTGCCTACTAATTTACATACAGGGATCGCTATGCAGTTCTGCAAGTTAGTTGCAATAATATTTCCCAAATTGCTGAAAGCTGAGCTCATATTCAGAAAAAATAAGCTTAGAGTACCTTCCTTCAATTCTTCTACTTGTCAAAAATTTACCCATCTCAATAGTGTGGTCTCTTCTCTCCTGCTATATGCATATCCCACACACTTAAGTGCTGGCTTATCTGGTGTCACAAGATACATCTAATTTATAACTGCATTAATTGAAAACAAAGATGGTTACACTGAATTCCTCTCATAGCTCATCTGTGTTATAGAGTGTTATTAATGCTTTAGAGTAAATTCTATGTTACTAATGCACATTCTTTCTTATTTAAGGTACTGGTAAATGAGACTGCTTAGTGGACTCTCTGGATGCAGCTGATTTCTTTGTTTCGTTTTGTTTTGTTGTCTGAAGAGATTCCACCACCAATGTGATTATACTACTTGTGTGACTAAATACATTCATGAATCCATCTGTTGCCAGTCCCTGAGTAACCTCCCAGTGGTACACTGAAACTTTCGTCTTCAGCCCTTCATTACTCTGCTCCCTTCCTCATCAACTCCAACTGCAGTGGAGGCCTTTGCGTGGACTCTCTCACATCATCCTCTAAAATTTCACAAGCCCTAGCTTTGTTTGAGAAAGTTGGTATAACAAAACCCTGCAACTTCTGAGGTAATGACGTCAGATGTTTAGCTGTCCTTTTCAGGGGTTTGGTACTTTATACAACACACTGCAGAGAGCTAATGGTGCACTGTAGAACTTTGTAAACACCTTACAATTCTTCCAGCTGCTGTGAATTATCTTTCATATGTCTATGGTTGCCAAAGATGTTTTATTGTAGTGGCTGCTGGTCTGAAACACCTTCAGTGGTATAAACCTTTTAAACACTAGCTCAAAATGTATTTTCAGTAGCACACATCGCCACTGGTTTGGCAATGAAGAGGTTGCTGATATGGTCCACAGAGTACTGTTGAAATGATCAATTACAAAGTTAAAAAGTTTGGTTTGGCTTCTGGCATATGCAGTCAGTTTGCCCATTATAAGTATTTAAGACACTTAAGTCTGTACATTTAAAGAGATAGGAGCAAATAGATATTTCGGTTAAGGTCATGTTTCATGTTCTTGTGCTTTTGTGTTAGTTTGGAAAGACAAGTTTGATACAGCATGCTATTGACAGGACAGCTTCTTGGTCCTCAGCAACTGATAACTCTTAAAACTACTCTGTACAATGCACTTTTCTTGACCAATACTGCATATATTCTGTCATCCTGCTTAAGGATATTTTAGTGACTATTTGTTAAACTTTTGAAAGTTGAAGCTAACTTAGTTTTTCTTAGACAGGGTCCACTCCAAATTAAATATCAGTGCTTTAGTTCTTGATCTCACTGAGTATATCTCAGGGACCAAAATCTCCCTTTCAGTTTCCATGTCCATAGTTTTAACAGCAAGTTGTCACAAAATACGCTGAGACAACCCAAAACCCTGGCTTGGAAGAGTAAGCACTTGGCATCTGAAGTGGGCTACTGGAATTCACAGGCAACATGCGTGACAAGTGAGTTGCGTCCACTTTGAAACTTTTTGTCCTCCACAGGTAACGGAGTGAGGCGATAATCTTATCTTCAGCTTTCCTGTTTGTACCAACAGCATGATGAATGTCAGCCTTATTGGTTAGCTAAGAGAAAATGTGTTCTTGTATACTGTCATTAGATCAGTATAGAATGATAGCGAGGTTAAATGTGGGAACAACATGGAGAATTTCAAAGATGTGTTTAAATGCACTAGGAGTTAAAGGGAGCTTTTTTTTGTGTGCGTTTGTTCTTAAAGATTTTTGTCTTTAAAAAATAGTCTTTAAAAAGTTTTTTCTTTGTTAAACTATGATTAGAGGCTTAATTTTTAAAAAGATGTTAAATATGTGTGTGTCTGAAGCAATGGATTGCACAGAAGTTCAAGTCTGTACAATATATTTAATATCAAATGCATATTAATTGCCTTTTTATTATCAAGTGCAATGACCTTTGAAAATGTGACTTTTAGTTAAGAAGTTAGAGAAGGAACATTTTTTGTCCTGTGGTTGCGTGTATAAATTCCACAGAAGGGATTTTTTTGTGCATGGGTGAAAATATATCATTCAAATCCCATATCTCCTGTAAATACTCAAATGTGAGGTGTGACAACTAAAATTTCTGGGTTTTCCAGTTTGTATTGGAGAGGTGAAGAAAGAGTGAAAAATGAACAGGAACCCATAGAAAAATCTTTATGCTCCTTAGCTTTACTGGGAGCTGTTGCTGATCCCACCTTACCCCAAGAACAGGAGTAACAGCAGCCTTTGGAGCACGCAGGGCGAGGGCAGCACACACCTCAACCACGGGACTTCTGAGTACGACTTCTTGCCAAAAACACTGAAGTACTGAACCTGGGAACGATTAATGCTGAAGTGTTGCCTTTGCCAATGACGTATGTAGCAGGGGGAAAGGTAGCACATAATAAGTAGGAGGGAGATTTTTTTTGCTGCTTTTCTGACGTATCTTTTACTGGGAAACACAATTCCTGTTACTTTTTCACTGAGTAAAAATCATTATTTTATTTTCAATTCCTGTTGCAAATATTTTTTAAGAATTTCACACCACTGATGACTTTCTACCAACATAGTTGAAATATATTGTAAACTGCATCTTGGGGGGGGAGGGGACAAACTGTTGAAAGTTAGCTTTTTGTGAAGCTGTGATTTATTTTTTTCTATAAATTACCAGATTTATAAATTCTTACTTGAGAAATGCATTAACTTGGTATTAAAATACCCTAAATAAATTGTTGTAAGCTGTCAGTTTATTCTTGCACATTATCTTTCAGACACATTTTCATTGATGTTTTTTACATGAGGCATTAGTATACGCTGATGCATATTAAACAACAGAGCACCGTCTCTAAGTATCACAGACACATGCTTTAACTTACTCAAAAACACAGATCAAATACCTGCAGTACTGCATCCTGCGTTTCACTGATACATTCAGTTTCAAGGACTGGATTAGAAACTACATTTCTTCAAATCCCTCCATATTCAGGAAAAAGCAGGAAAACACAAGTAAAACGACGAAAAGGAACATGGTCGTAAAACAGGTTTGATCTGAACAACATGGCCGACCAACAGGCCAAACGGTTTTTGCTCTTACACCATGGTCTGGTAATTGCCACAGATTAAAAAGCCATTCTGAGCTGGGGGAGGAAATGTTCATGGAATAGAAAACATTGCAGGGGGGACTAGCCAGGAGCGGAAGGTATTTCTGTTATTTTAAGGAAGAAGCGTGGGGGTACGTGTATGCGTGGAGGGTGCCTGCCAGATTCTTGTTTGTTCTGTCTCTCTGTAGCTCCCAGTTGTATTCTGCACATCTGGTGCTGCGTAATTATGCCAAGGATACAGCCTTCATCCACAGTCTTTACAAAGTCTTTAGTCCCCTATATCAAAATCAGTTGTGTGAGTCAGAAACACACACACACACACCCCCCCTCCAAAAAGAAAAGGGCATTTATATATCGCATCACACAGAAACTTTAGGTCACATGTAATTGCTCAATATGAGACTTCTCCCTCTGCTCGTGAGGCTCTGGTGTCTTCCTTTCACACGGCAAAATTACAGCCTTGCCCTTAGCTGTGCTGCACAAGAGCATACTCCAATTTCATGATTCATCAAGCTGGAGTATTATGAGATGAGAACTTTATTAATGTACTTAGTACCAGAAATTTATACGTATAAAGAACTTTTGTTCAACAAAAGCTAATACAATATCTGGTCTATTATTGGAACTCTATACAAACAAGCTTCTTAATAGCCATACCAGCATCCAAGCCATAATCTTTCCATCTAAAGAAGCCTGGATCTGTAGCTCTTGGAATGCTATTTGCTATTCTTGAGGTAGGTTATTTGTTTACTCATGAGTATGCGAAATACCGAGTCCCAATTTATGTGCACGTTTTTTATTGGAATATGCAGGTACGGTTTTATTATTTGTTGTGAGAGATAGATAAGCACTTAAGAAAGATAGAAAAAAACATACCAGATTTTTAGCAGTTCAGAACCCAGCTTAAGGCAGTAGTAGATCAATGTAACAAGCAACAGGATGGTTGAAGGTCATAACATTGAGATGATACTGGGTTACAGAATATCCTTGAATATCTGAAATTGTTGGAAGATTTTGTTATAGTTTCATTTAAAAAGAATCAGTTGTTCCCACTTGCCTTTCAAAGTAGCATTTTTGAAGCTATCACAGCAGCATTTGGCACAGTATTCTCAAAATGAAAATGTTGAAATTGTAATTTAAATATTTATGCAAATACCTGAGTCACAGCTGTACTACCTTCCAATAGAAGCAAAGATAACATCAGCATATGAGCAGTTCATTTACACACTGTAGGTCAGGACTGCCAAACTAGTTTGCAGTAACTGTGTAGTACTAAACACATATGAGGAAAGACAGCGAGCTCTTTCATAATAAAAAAAAAACCCAAGAGGTGTGGTAATTCTCGTTTACAGAAATTCCCCTAAGACTGTTAATGTTACAAATTTTCACTCAGAAGTCATGAAGTTCCAGTGCCAAGGTTACGCACAGACCTAATAGTCTGTAGGCACAAAGTAGCCGTTAAAGTATAATTAAGTAATTTCTTTCTCTCTGTGGGTATTTAATCTTGGATACTGCCTGGAGTTTGGAATGAACTGATGTTCCATAGTGAAGAAAAAGGACGTAAGTAGGATCCATGCCTCCTTTTTTTTTTTTTTAATTATATTTTGAAGTTAGAGGGTTTGTAGTGCATAAGGTGTGGGTTCTCATCGTTGTGGTGCTTGAAATTACACTGAGCCACAACCTTTGCCCAGGCATCTCCAAGATGCCCCTCTCTTCTCCGGCCCTGAAAAAAACCACAAACATTTTCTCCATTCAGAAGGCTGCTAACAGCTGATTGTTTATGAAGTTGGGTTTGCGTATCTACTCCATCACCTTGAGTGTGGACTCCACGTCGGTAAAAGCATTCCCGTTTCAGAACAGGAACAAGGAGCTGGGGGTTCTCCATCTGGACCCTCACCCTGCTTCTGTGGGGAGAGAACGCCTGGCAGCCTTTCTTCCTCCTGTTTTTCTGGTTTTATCTTTGCAGATGAAGAAAGTTTGACGGTTTCTGAGAAATAAGAAAAAAGAATGGCTGTGCCCTTTGCAACAGCTGCTGTTGGTTGCTCTCCCCAGGAAAGAGATGTTGTCAGGCAAAGAGGGATTTATTTTGGGCAGTCCAATATATGAAGATCAGATTTTGCAGGATTAGCTCCAGTCGGAGCCAAAGCGCCATTACTGAGGATGCGGCTGGAAAAGGTCACAAAACTCACTCAAACGGAAGAATTGTCAGCCGGCTTCTTTTTGTTGCCTCATATAGTCAGGATCCAGTATTATCTGGGTGTTACGGTATCCAGTATTATATTAAAGATGAATTCGCTGTTCTGCCGTACTCCTTCACCCAATGCACATGCTTTCCTCCTGATTACTGCTCACCCATTTGGCAATACGAGACTCCGCTGCTCCTTATTAATGAATTAGGAAAAGCCCTGGTGGCACTCCTGCGTGGTCAATAAATGAGTTGCAGCCAGCGGCATTTAATTATTTACAGCTATACCCAAAACAGGTTTCAACGATACA